AGTGGCGAGCGAGATGTCTTGAGTTCGGTTTGGAGAGTGTTCCGAGCTGCCATGGGCCAACTCGAGTCACAGCTTTGTGAGGCTTGGGGCCCAGTATAGTTCGTGCTCCTTGTAGGGAGCTCGGTTTCTCAATAGGGAGCTCGGGTTCTTATTAGGGAGCTTGGACTCTTAATAGGGAGCTCGCTCTTAATAGGGAGTTCGGACTCCCAGTAGGGAGCTCAGGTTCTTATTAGGGAGCTCGCTCTTAATAGGGAGCTCGGACTCCCAGTAGGGAGCTCGGACTCCTAGTAGAGCGGTCTGGAGTTCGGGCTCGGTAGTGAGCTTGGACTTGCTTTCGATGTTCGCTTCGGGCGCTCTACTGTCTCGAGTTGTTTGCTTTTGCCACGTGTCGGGTGATTGCGAGGTCGGGCCAAATTTCCCTTCATACATATATATTAATATAACTAATATCATATATATATATATATATATATATATATACATATAATTGGTAATTGGGATTAGGGTGGAGCAGGGACTTCATTCCCTACCCCTAACCTGGTGGGGTCGGGTACTTGACAGGAATGGGGAAAATTGCCATCCCTACTAATGTATTATGGAGAGCCTACAGTCATGTGGATTTGATCCCTTACTTCGAGGGATTGAGTGAAGTTTATTTTCCTATGTTCTTTTTGTTGAAATTTATCTAGATAAATGAGACACCCTAACTTACCCATGTTATTTTGCCTCACTCACTATCTTGGGTAAGGTGATCATTGTTTCTGCCCAAAACGGTTTTGGACCTTTTGTTTTAGAAACCTATTTAATGGCTTATAATGAGTCCATTCTAAATAAAACCTTATCCAATATATCAATAATCCTCAAGATTATTGTCATTATGCTTTGCAACTATGTCATAACAATTTTAGCCTTTTCAAGTTTCAGCCACATAATAGACTAGCTGAGTCATTAATTTAAAAAAAAATTGCAATTTGGTAATATTTTAGAGATATTTTTGTCTGATTAAAGTTGGTCCATTTCTCTCCATGATGGGAAAGTAATTTACCCACATCTGGTGTGGGTAATAGACTTTACTAAAAGTCTCTAAAAGAAGGCAGAGAAAAATTGTAGTTTTTCTTTCGAGGCAGTGGCTAGAAAAGCCTTTGAAGAGTTTGAGAGGAAAAAGAAGGAAGAAAGCCTTTGGGAAAAGCTTGGGTTTGTTCTTTTGGTTGCATTTGGAAATGATGCAAATAGAGTGTAAATCCCGATTCAGGGTAAATTTACACATTGGTTCACTTTTGCCTGTGTTTGGCAACATTACATCTTTGCATTGACAAATGACAAACCAATGCATATTTATATTGATAATAAGATGTAAAAGTACATCAATAAAAAAGAAGTAAAAAGGAACATGCTTTATTGGAATTTGTGTTTGCATCCATTATAGCTAAAAGGTAAGAAGGTACATTTGTTAGTGCAAAACTAACGTAACCCAACTTTACAATTTATATGGACAGTTTTACACTCTACATATTTACATTCACACTTATTTGCATTGTTTCTAAACGCAGTCTTTGAGGAGGTGAGGAATTCACAAAAAAAAAACTTTTGAAGAATTTGAGAGGAAAAAGAAGGAAGAAATATTAAGAAAAAGGGTATTTGGAGGAGGGAGATGGGATGAAGATAGTGACATCTAAGAGGAGCTATTTGTTGGGGAATTCTCTCTTCTGCTAGATTCTTCTTTGCTCGCGTTGCAGTTGACCTTTATGATTGTTCTAGGATGGTGCTGGAGGAGTTAGTCAGTTGTTCATTTTCAGAGTCTTTTGTTGGCTATTATCTAGTGTATGAAGTGTTTAAGTCGGTGATTTCTTATTACCTTCCTCTATATTTTCTTTTTATTTTAATGTTTTTTTACTTTTCAAAAAAAAAAACATGGTTCTCAAGGATATGGTATTTTATTATACCTGGCAAAAAGTTGATCCAACTCGTAAATTCAACCCAACCCAACCCGAAAAATCAGGGTTAGGGTTTCATATTTAGCTACTCGAATTTGAGAATGACCTGACCYAACCCAACTTGAAAAAACCTAGGTTGGGTTGGGTTGGGTCATGGGTCAACCTCTGACCCGATTGCCATGATTAATTGGGACTATTTATGTATTGTTAGAAGTTGCCACTTTTTAATCTTTACTATTTAGTCTTCACTTATTATCGTTTACCCTTTGAATTGTTGAAAGTTCATTTTTTTTTATTTTATGTTTGTGATTTTAAGGTTAATTTCTTTATTTTTGGCATTTTCATGTATTTTTTCTTTATTTTCTAGAATCACAGTTATTTTTAGGGGCCAAATTGGCCCGTGGGTCAACCCTAACCTGAACATTAAATTAACCTGAACATTAGGGTCTAACATTTGCTAACTCAACTTAAAATTCAACTTGACCTTAAATTAACCTAAAGTGTCTTGACCCAACCCGAACTCGACCTACCCAACCCAATTGCCACGTCTATACTTTACTGAATTAAGCTTCAGCTATCAAGAAGCCTACAAACTCCTTAAAAACTTGGATTCGGTTTGGGAAGAGTATAAATGCAAATATGTATACTGCAAAATTTAGCCTTTCAATTCAGTCACACTAGTTTTATCAAATGGCCTCCTAGAGTTAAGGCCCGTTCCAAATTTAATTGAATAAGTCATTTGCTTTGGGGTGAGCATTCAGTTTATTTGATTAAAAATCAAACCAGAAATTTTGATTTTCAATTTTGAAAATTAAAAAATTATCTAGTTAACCTAAAACCAAATTAACCGATTTAAAATCCAATAAAACAGAGATAACCAAAACCAAAATTTTTGATTCATTTTTTTTTAATTTAACCGAACCCAAATTGCACCTCACTTAGGAATGGACCTGTTCATGGGTCAAGTAGTCCAACATGCTGGCCCATCCTAAATCGGGCTTGGACAAGCCATAGGCTCGGGCTCAAGCTTTCCCAAATAAGCCCGACCTGATAATATTATATTTATAATAGAAATATAATATGAATGTTATAATGTATAATATATATTATATAATAGTAAAATTAATAGCAAAAAAGTATTATATTATTAAATATATAAAATATTATATAACATATTATTAATAATATATAATTAATACATTATAAAATGCCTATCAAAGTCGGGCTTTGGGCTCGGCCCGAATTTCAAGCTTTATATAATGCCGGCCTCGGACTCAAGATCTAGGTCCGATGGTCGGACTAGGCTCGGGGTTGGGCCTAGTGATATTCTATTTATAAAGAGGCAGAGCTCGGTCGGTGATAGGTCTACTTAGGAGTGGTCCCGGCTAGACCAGGCCTAGCATCTATTATAATCTATCTAGGGCCTGGGCCGGGCTAGAGTGATCATGGATGGGCTGGGCTTAGCATCCATTAATTATAAGATCTAGCCCAGCCCTAGCTTTGTGGCAATCCTCAACCACCCAAATGGCACCCCATTGGGAGAATGACCAATAATTATAAGGTCAGAATTTGTAGGCTCAAAATACATTTGGGACAGGTGACAGCTCGACAATTAATACCAATTTATGGGCAGGTATGAATGCATAAAGTGTAATTTTTGGACCTTCTAAATGTTTATAGCTTTCCCGTGGGAATCAAGAATCTGCATTATACCTATCCGTAATTTTCCGTTTTTTTTTAAAGCTGAATCAACTTTCATTAAACAAAGTAAACTGAATCAACTATATATAGCCTGATGATGGACAAAGCTACCGATCCAACGATCCAAATACCAAATTCCCAGGGTGTGTCGGTTGTATTCAATGAGAAGGCAGTGGGGTTGATCCACCTCACTCACATGGATCCTTTGTACAACTACGTTCAATAGAATTTTAACACGTGGAAATGTAATTAAAATATCCGGTTGCTCTAAAGCCTAAAAAGTAAAAAAGAAGCAGATAGCCTCGGTAGTCGGTACATAAAATGATTCAATAATGAGTTTTGTATTCAATATTCTTATGATTCAACATGTGGCCTGTTATAAGCCGTTAGATCGGACCGAGTTGAAATGATGCTGATCTAGTAAGATGCTGCACGTGATCACGATGTGATGGGTACAATCTAAGCGGAAGCTACGACGAGTGCATTAGAATAGTCAAAAGTACTTTTTTCTCACGTACGCGAAGTAAGACGCCAGGTTCAGGTTGGTTGCCGCCGTTGTTGGTTGAAGAATGACAAATTGGCAACCACCTAGCAAAGACGATAGAGAGACTACGTGAGTACAGAAAGACAAGACGGACAGACAGAGAGAAAAGCAGAGTGCAGAGAAACGAACAGATCTGAGAAGAGAAATGCTGGGGAAAGCTCTACTGTCCCTTGTGTTCTTCATTTTCCTCTTCGTCACCTTCTTCTTCATCGGAACCGTCGATTTCAGGTCCTATTTCCCACCTCCGCCCCTCTCACCTTACCACCAACTTCCTTCCTGCCACACCAGATCACCTCCTCTCCGAGTCTACATGTATGATCTCCCCCGTCGATTCAATATTGGCATGATCGACCGCCGGAGTTCGGACGACACGCCCGTCAATGCCCAGAATTTGCCTTCCTGGCCGTCTAGTTCCGGCCTCAAAAGGCAGCACAGTGTTGAATACTGGATGATGGCGTCGCTTCTCTATGAGGGAGGAGATGAAGAGTCGAGGGAGGCGGTTAGGGTTTTGGATCCTGACTCGGCGGATGTCTTCTTTGTGCCCTTCTTCTCGTCGACGAGTTTCAATACGCACGGGCATAACATGACGGATCCCGATACGGAGATTGATCGACAACTTCAGGTATTTCTTATTCTTATTCTCATCATCGTAACGTTCTTACCCTTTTTAATTGTTGTGACGATTTGATTAGAGAATTGTTTGAACTTGGATGCAAAAAACTTTACTTTAGAACGAGTGTTTTTCTCTTTCCTTTTTTTCTTTTTGGTGTGTGAGTCTGTGTGTGAATTATAGGATGGGTTCAGTTCAGTACACTAATCTGTAGGTTCCACATGTTGTAACTTCTAAATCCATTAAATTGATATCCTTTTGATCCCATTTTCTGAACTGGAGAATCTTGAAATATTGAATTTTAAATTACTAGTGCGTATTGTTGAAGTGAAGTTGGATAACAGTAAGATTTTAATGGGGAAGCTGGTATTGCCAGTAGGATATCTGTCTCTAGTTCAGAATCACAGACAACTGAGTTTTAATTCAGTTTGAATTTCTTCCAAATTAAGGGTCCGTTTGGTTCACAGTTGGAATCGGAATGGTCTGTTCCTCCCACCTGTTTGGTTCAGACGGGAATTGGAATCGGAATGGGAATCAGCTGGAATGGATTCTCATTCACAAGGGAGGGGGAGGAAATGGCCATTCCCTCAAATGGGGAATGCCATTCTAGCAGGAACGGGAATGGGTCCCAATTCCGCACAATCAAACAGTTGGAATTGGAATAGGTCATTACGATTCTGATTCCAGACCCCTATTCCGACAAACAAAACGGACCCTAAGTTACATTTGTAGGGAAATTTGTGGCATTCAACCTGGAGTTATAAAAGGAAAAGAGAAAACACCAACGTTATCTAGCCTACAGGGCAGATAATTCAAAACGAACATCTTACTAAGCTTGTCTATGCTATATAAAAAATTAAAAATATCTAGTGCATAGCCCCTGGAGAGTGCTGGTGGTGATATGATCCCAGCCATCTGGGAAAGGAGAGCGTGGGTCTCTTTTGGTTGACATAGTGCGTTACAAAATAAACCTATTTTTATAATAATTTTCTTTTATTCACGTTTTTCTTATCCATTGATCATTCTGGATAAAGCAGTTGTTTGATTAGCAAATATTATGAAATACCAATTCCCTGAATCATTTCCCTGATTTTCTCTTGGGCCCAAATAAGACTTGCTTGTGGTTCTAGATTGACTTGCTGGAGTTTCTGAGGAAATCCAAGTATTGGCAGCGGTCTGGGGGCCGAGATCATGTAATTCCTATGCATCACCCAAATGCTTTCAGATTTCTTCGGGATCAGGTGAATGCATCTATTCTTGTTGTTGCAGATTTTGGGCGCTATCCAAAAAGCATGTCATATCTGAGCAAAGATGTGGTGGCCCCGTATGTACATGTTGTTGACTCCTTTATAGATGATGACACTCCAGACCCATTTGAATCTCGTACCACACTTCTCTTTTTTAGGGGGAGGACATTCAGAAAAGATGTATGTATATTTAGCCTATTGATATCTCAACAACATCCATCTAATCTTGTTATTTTTTAATCATCTTGGGGAATGACTATGTCTCTTGTAATATTATAGGAAGGAATTGTCCGGGCAAAATTAGCTAAGGTACTAGCTGGTTATGATGATGTGCATTATGAAAACAGCTTTGCGACAGGAGAAAACATAAAAGCAGTAAGTGGTGATATGATATTATTGTTATATTCTCAGTTAAGTTGTCAGGGGTATATTTTTCATCCACCAAGGAGAATGTTGTTCTCCAATCTACACAGTAATTACTGTTTGCAATATTTAGACTTTGGATGCACTTGTCCTAATTTTGCTGTAAAATCTGTAATGTTAGTAATCTACTAATCTCTAATCTCTTATCATTTGAAGTTCAGATTCTCTTTTGACTTGTCACCAACAAACATATTTAGTAGCATGTTGTGTGCAATTTTTGCACATTGAGTCTTGTATATTACCTGTATCTTTTTGTAGTGTTTACACTGTAAACTTATATTGTGTTACCTTTATTTCTCTTACACTGTTGTAACAGTCCTCACAAGGGATGCGCTTGTCGAAGTTCTGTCTGCACCCTGCAGGAGACACCCCTTCCTCTTGCCGCCTCTTTGATGCCATTGTAAGTCATTGTGTTCCTGTCATTGTGAGTGACCGGATCGAACTTCCTTATGAGGACGAGCTTGACTATACCCAATTCTCAGTTTTCTTCTCTATCCAAGAAGCACTACAACCTGGTTACATGGTCCAGCAGCTCCACCAAATCCCAAATGAGAGATGGATCAAGATGTGGATGAGGCTGAAGAACATCTCCCATCACTATGAGTTCCAGTATCCCCCTAAGAGGGGAGATGCTGTCAACATGTTGTGGAGACAAGTCAGACACAAGCTTCCTGGAGCCAAGCTTGCAGAACATAGAAACCGAAGGCTGAAAATCCCAGATTGGTGGGGCCGAAGGAGATGACAGCAGTGACCATTGGTTCTGCTTTTATTACACTGTACATTTATCATTCATCATTTTAGCAACCCTTCAAAGGGGAATAATTGCATGGAGAGATCACATCGCAGTAGCAGTCAATGTTTTCTAATCATGTACCACCTAGTTTGTTTTTCTGCAATGATATATTTTTCAAATGTATTACCTCTCGAGTGTAACCATCAATTGTTTTTCAAAGTGAGGCAAATCTTGATAATCCTTTGACAGGTTCATTTGTTTTTTTTACTTGTTTTTTAATGATGCAGAAGTGAGGGGGTAGGCCTTAACACAACAATTGGGTTTCTCCATTGTGACTTGGGTTCAGATCTTGGAAACATCCTTTCTGTGTATCTGTGGAGGTAAGGCTGCATACCTACCCTCCCCAGGCCTTGCATTGGTGGGAGCCTTGTGCACTGCTATCCTTTTTAGAAGTGAGTTTTCATATATGCGAAAGGATGAATTTTTTAGGTCTGGAATGACCAGTAAGGAGCAGGGATCTTAGTTGGCAGAAATGGTTTTCTGAAGGGAGACATGCCATATAATATTAATTGGGCAAATTTTGGACTACCATTTCACAAATATTTAAAAAAAAAACTCTGAAGACATGAAATTGGTATTATTTTGAGAAGCAGATGCTAACAGATCAAATGGAAAAGCCTGGTAATTTATTTCCAAAATAGGCTTTACACATCCTAGCGCAAGGCATTATTAATGAGGGAACTGTTGTATTGATGTGTTAGAGGGAGTCATTCCAATACAAAGTGGTCAGACAAACCTGTTGACTGTGAAGTGTTGTATAGTTTGATCTGAAGAAGAGAATTTGAATTAAGTATGTGGAACTGTAGAAAATTTTCTTCTGCTAATGGTAAAGGCGCTAATGATGGCAAGTAGACTGAAATGTGCTTTCTTTGATGTTATTGTCGCCCCCTCCCCTGAAAACAGCTTTGAGCATTAATGGTTCTAACTTCTGACATGGAAGCAACTCTACCCTCCACCTCCACTTTCAGCGTCATTGTCATCAGCATCATCATCTGTATCACAGTTGGCCGAGCAGAACATATGATAAAATTAAAGATAACAAAGGTAAAAGACTAAAAGGTATACATTAGCATTTTTTTTTTTGAGCAAATAAGTGGATACATGAACCTGAAGAGCCAACTTCTGCTCATTTGATATTTGGAATCTGGTCTTACATACTACCCTATTGAATATAACCATGGTTAAGCAATTACCAGTAAGCAGAATTTACTATCAATTATTGAAATCTTCCATTTCAATGGAAACTGTGTCTTAGGCCTTCGCTTAATTCATGCTCATTTTATGACTGCTATTAAAAATAGCATTTTAAGAACTATCTTTTCTGGTAATTAAGAAGATCAATATTAAGCAGGTATCTTTTGAGTGGACCACGAGGACTGTCAATACAAAAGAAGCAGGTGCATGGAAGAACACTGCTCTATAGATCCCACCTAAGCTAGATGAAAAGTGGAACTGGTCTCATTACAACCTTTTTCTCCTACAAACTTTGTCTTGAACATCTCCCATGCATAAAAAGGATAGTATTCAATCATATGATGAAATTGATTTTAAGCATGAATCTCTCATATCAGCCTCATTGATTGGTGGGCCAAGTATGGCAAGTTGGCAACAAGTTATAATTTTGATGTTTGTGGTTCTTGATCTTGGTAATTTTATTTACCTTTTGAACTAATTAATCAATAAGGTGAATCCTTTCATTGATGAATATATATGACGGGTTCACAACTAGAAACCCAAAGAGGTCTTCTCACAATCTTTTCAGCTTTGCAAATCTATGGCTATCACTGAAAATAGTTTCTTGGGGTCAATTCCAAGTTCAAAGACTGAATGGGCACCTGTTCCAATCATGCAAAGCAAGCAATATATGCTTAATACAATATCAAAATAGTTTACAATTAACTAAAACTGTAAATTAAGGGACTAACAACCAAGCTTCAGATCCTGCAGTTTTATGGTTTTCTGCACTGCAGATAGATGACATGGGCAATTTATACCATTGATCTGATACTTTCTTTTCCACACCCTCTGTGTTTTACATTTCTCCATGTAGCCCATATCCCTTGAATTATTTCACTGTTCATTATGTTTGGGATTTAAAATCTAAATATTATTCCTTACACAATTTTTGTTTGTTGTCTGTTTTTTTACATAATGTTTATACATGTATTATTCCCCTTCGTTAATTTGAAAATATCTGCACCATTGCCCTGGCTATGGTACCAATTATCAATCTCAGTTTCATGCCTATAATGTCTTGATGAAAACATGGAATGTCTTTGCATTTTGGGTGTTCTTTTATTTGGTCTACTGCTTATGATGAGTGCTTGTGCATGAATTGATTCCCCTCCAAAARGAAGGAAAGAAAGAAAACAAAAGATCATAGGGAAAGAGTGTGTTATTTTCTCTTTAACCATTGTACAAGGATAATTTGACTTGACAAACACTACAAGCAAAATTCCAGTTGTGTTCAACTCTTGCTTATGATTGCATGTGATACTCACTAGTGCACAGTTTATTCATTTCTATTCCCAATGGTAATTAATCATATGTGACTTGGTGATGGACTGTCAGATTTCCAATAATGGTTACAGTGCTTCCATGCGAAGGTTTTGTTGATATTAAAATTTCTTAAGATAATTTATATGGAAGTTGATGCGATTGTATGGTTTTTCACATTTTACAGGAGCAAGTTGCTTCTCAGCAACTTACCATGTAACCATTCCTTTCCCTTTCAGAAATGCTTAGACATTTGGAGGAGGAGAAGGTACCATATCTGAATCAATGAAACCTATGTCATCTCCATTATGTTGTTACCATTGCACAAAATTATGCTTTCACTGATTTCTTCTCAAAACTTGGATGAGCTTCAAATGTAATGTAATGAGAATTAGACATGGGAGTAGGTGAATGATGCATATATGGCACTGCTGAGGGAGGATTTGTGACAAAGACAGAGAGATTTGAAACTAGAAAATAGAGGATTTCAGGTTGGTTAGTTGTCTGGAAATCAACTATTACTATGTTTCCAAATAACTATATAAATCAGTACTTACACATGTGCCATCGTAAATTGTTTCTCTCAATAAGCTAGTATTTTCCCCTTGTATATGATTTGGATAATGCAGTACAAGAGGTCAGACATCACTTCCTTTGTATGATCTTGGTTCATGAGTGAGAGAGAGAGGGGGGGGGGATGTATGTATGTATGCATGCGTGGCATGGTTTACAAGGTCATTAAGGAACTAAAAGGCCTTGTATATGGGTTTTCTGTGAGACTAGGCAACCTATATTCACTTGTTCTCTCAGTACTCTGTATGTGTTTCTCTATAGTTACTTAAATGGTGAGTGATATTGAAGCTAAAACGTCATCTCACATTGGAATGCAAAGAGATGCATACAGGGGCAGATTACAGGTGTTGAGTGAATCAATTTATGCCATCTTTGACAATTGTTGATTTAAGACTGCACCAGCAAAACAGCCAATTGTCTGGCCTTCTAATAATCGATGCTGATGCTAAAACTTCTTTGTTACAGGCAAGAGATTAATTAAGGCTTGTGTGGCATATCATTCCTGTTAATGTCCCATTAGCAGCAAATGATTTCTGGGCAAGAGTTACATGGGCAAATTGTGGTGCCAGTGTTTGATTGCACGGATTCTTTTTTGGGTAAAGACTTTGGTGGGGGATTTTAATGTTTTGGGCAGGTGGGTAAGCAATTTATCCACCCCCATGAGAGTATTGGTTTTCCGGAAAATCCGGAAATTCATCTTTCCAAGGACCCATTATACTGGCACTCAAACATAGAGAAATTGGTGAATTGCCCATTTGATCAACTTACCCCCATGAGATAATCTCCTAGGTAGACGAATGAGGCCTAAGTGTGAGGTTCTGCAGAAAAGTTTGACTATCATGCATGCTGATTATTGATGCAGGTAATCTCCTAGGTAAGGTGATGCATTTTAACTTCAATGCAGAAACACAGTGTATCAATGGCTATGACCTATGAGGTGAGAGATAATCCTTTCTTCAGTACTTTTTTCCTATTAATTAGAAGAACAAAGAATAAAAGATCTCTTTTAATGATGCCAGATAAGAGAGGAATAGGAGACCAACAAATATTTTTTGAGTTATCTGAACTTTTGTTTAGGTAAATGAGTTGACCTGAATGGGGGACATAACACTCCTCTAATGAGGGCATAGAAATTTCTTAAGCTGTAGTTAGTTAAATCCAGTATCAAAATAAGCCAGTAAATTTCTTCCTGATGATAGGGATAGATTTGATACATACATTTAAACACAAAGAAGAAAGAAGATTCAGTAACATACGAAGGTAGAGAGTACGTTTCTTGCTTATAACCTTCCTGGACTTTCTCTATATCATTCCTTCTCGACCTATTGACAGTTATTATATTCCTCGTGGGAGTTTTTTTTTTCCTTTGGATTTTTTTTAAACTAAGGAGTTAAAGCAGTTTGGTTTCGAATATTTAGTTTGTTTGATTAGTTTCTACTAAAATCTTGGAGCTGGTGGCGCTGAATTTCAAAACTCACTCAGAAAACATGTCTCAGGTTAAAAGAAAACAGTTCATACATGCAAATTGAGCCAAACTTACCATGAGGTCTTGCTAGTGAGTGTTATATTCCATGGTAGAGTTAGCATTAACTCTTAAATTATTCCCATCACAGAGAGGCTTTGGAACCATTTTGAGGTGGTTATACATGAGACCGACCCGCATTTCATGAATGAAAAAGGATTGGATGTGTGCACAAGCTTGGCCCTGCTCTGTCGTTATTTGTGGATCATGTTATTCAACCCATATTTACCCGCAATTTCTAGCCTCCACAAGCTGTCAGCTTCCTTATTGAATTTCCATAACCATTTTCCTAAAAGTTCCGTGTTTACTTCTTTTTAATCTTCTCACACCTAGGCCATCAGATCATTTTGGGTAGCAGATTTTGTTCCAATTTACCAAGTGAAACTTGAATTGCTCTTCATCCAACCCAAAGAGGGAAGACAGCACTTTTTATTAATGTGAGTTTCCACTTTTCCTCCTTTTGTTAACTTTTGATGTAGCCAGTCTTATATCAAATCTTTTGGTCTTTGGATCTTATATTTTGCGTCAAATGGCAGCCCTAAGTATTTGGTTGGAAGTCTTCCAATTCTGCACCCCATTTCATCAGCTAGTTTTCTGCCATTTCTCTTGACCCATCATCATCATTTCACTTTTTGTAAGATTAACTTTCAGCCCTGAAACTACTTCAAACCACCTTAGCACATTTCCTAGATGAGTTACTCCACAAAGGTTTTACAAGAAAAGGTGTCATCAGCAAATTGTAACAAAGGAATTGGGTTTCATCTGCTGGAAGTGGAAAGGGACTCCCAGCCAATTAGCTTTCTTAAGAAGATCCCTGTAGCCCCAGAAAACTGTTTCTGGATTTGATAGCCAACCCACTACCACCTTAGAGTCTCCCTCAAACTATCAAAATTTCCACTCCTAGTTGATTGGCAACTTGTATTCCTTGTACTGCTGCCAGTATCTCAGCCCTTGTAGAATCACCAATTCCCACTGGTCCTGAAAATAAGGATAGAATGTTGCTATCCTTATCTCTTAAGATCCCTCCTATACCCGAAGGTCCTGGATTACCTTGACTGCTACCATCAAAGTTCAGCTTTATTGCCCCCTCTTTAGGAGGTCTCCAATCTACTTGTAGTCTATTCTTTTTAGGGGCTGTGGAGATCACCTCTGCCCAACTTTTCCAAAGATCATCAAAGGAGTAATCTCTAAACAAATCTGAAGTTTTCAGCCAATGAATTGTCCTTGTCAAAATACACTTCTTTACTTCATTGATTCTTCTTTCCTCTCCTCCTAGATAGTCCACAAAAAGGCTGCTCTGATGCACTTCCACGTTAATTTCCCTCTCTTAGTTGGCCACCCAAAAGTAGATGGGTCAGAAAGCAAGTTACTTCAGAGGTTAAGTTCCACTTGCACCCAAACAACATAAATACCCAATTCCAAATATTAGCAGCAAATGCACAAGATGACAACAAGTGGTGGGAGTCCTCATTATGCACTTTACACAAAATACACCAGTTTGGGGAGAGACAAAGATAAGGTCTCTTCTTTTGCAGGTTATCAATTGAAGATAGGAAAGTATGTTATGAGAGAAATATAACCTGGGGATGGACTGCTAAATAAAATTCTTCTCTGGTTTTTGAATTTATAGGATCAATTACCTGCAGAGAGAACTTATCAAAAAAAAAAAAAGACCTGCAGAGAAAAAGTGTCACTGAGATCACGTGGAAGATGGAAAATCTTGGAAAACCAGTGTATAATGGGAATCTGTTCTGTTGGGGGAGCCTTATTGCCCCAGGCTGTCGAACTTAGTATTTTTTTTTTTTCTGTTCCATGAGCTTAAATTTGATGACTACAATAAGCCTCTTGTCAACTTCTTGTGCAACTCTCCAAGTACCAAAATGCTAGTTCTTGGTCCTTCCCCTTCATCTTCCATCTCAAAACCCTTGATTTTTTTGATAATAAAATAAAAATTGCATCAAAGAAAAAAGAGAGTGCAAGGTGACCAGAAGTCACCTGAGAAATAAAGAAACCAACTCTTCTCTCAAAGAACTCCCCAGTCAAACCCTCAATTACCTCAACTAAAAAAAAAAAAAGAAAACAGCTCTTCAACATCAACAAGAACTACAACCACCCAACCGATAAAAGCACCAAAATCCCCTAAAATTGACACAAGATCTCAACTAAACTTCATCATGAACTATGCTTGGTTATCCAACAACTTCATAATCTTGTAAATGATTCCCTTTAAATTTTTTACAAACTTTTCTTAACTTTCTTCACCTTTTCGATATGTCCAACCACAAACCAGGCAAAAACTTTTGAAATCCAAACAGTTTATTTTTCTGATTCCTGAAACACCTAACAGCATTGGGAAGCTTCTCAGAAATCTTCCACTCCTTGCAACTAGCACTGCTTCTCTCTATCTCCAAGACCAAATTCTTATTAAAGGTCTGATCTGCACCTGACACTCCACCATCAGGATCAGGATCTCCACTATTGCCACTGAAAGAGCTCACTCTGTCCTGATCAGTTTCAGAACTTGAATTAAAACCAACTGCAACAGGATCAAGTTTATCTATTTATCTGTCCTTGGATGGCAAACCATAGTTTTCCTCCAGTTATTTATTTTCCTTGCAAATTCCTCACCCAAAGGAAATACAAGCCCAGAGATGTGCGACTTCCGTATCAACCACTGTCTCCAAATCAATTGATCTTTCAATCACATGAGTCGTCAATAACTAAAACTTCCTCATTTGAATTGAAACCTTTATCTGCTTCATTTTTGGCCTCAACAACTTATTGAACTGGCTTAGCTCTCTACTTTTTCTTCCTTTTATAGACTTTTGAACTCAGAGTTCACATTCAGTTTGAAGTAAAGGATTGTGGTGGGTCTGAGATTGATATACAGAGGGGGTTCAAGACAACCCATCTCTTCTCCTACACTCTTACTACCCTCCTCTGATTCTTTCTGACTCCCAACAGTTAAAAGTTTAAACTTCATCCCCCAACAACACACATTGACCTCCCTCTCTCAACTCCAGCACCCAACCCTTCTGGAATTGCATGAAACCCACCCCTTAGACCACCATACTTCACAAAACTCTCCTATTTTTCTTCCCCAACCCCCTCTCATCCTCTCCACTTCTTCCTGGTTTCCTACACTTAACACCCCTCTTTCCCCTCCTTGCTTATTCACACAACATTCCGAAGAACCTTTACCTCAGTGGTCACAACATTGAAGTTGACAGCTTGACCAGGGTTTCAGAACGAATAACACCTCCTTTATCTCCTCCCTCTGCTGAACATTCATAGCACAGAAAGGAGCTTGACCGCCCTCTTCAACATGATCAGCTTGCTCTTTAATGGTAGAAACCTTCATACCCTCATCACCTCCATCAGAATATGTCCCTGCATGGTTGTACCTTGTTACAACCCAGATCCACTCATCTGTGTTAGGCAAAAACTTCGACCTATAATCCTTTGCAGATCACGATCTGTGAATGCCCTCATTCTTTGATTCTCGAACACCAAATTTAAGGATTCATCTCTCCCTTTGATTCCTCAACAGCTATGCCCTTTTTTCATCTCTTTTGATAATGAACCTCAAATCAAGGAAACGAAACAATGTTAAGACTGTCATTATATATGTGTAGTTAATAGGTCTGTGTTGACAATTTAAAGCATAGGCCATCAACACTTAGGCACCTGCCTTGTGGTTTGCCATGCCTAGCAGGCCCTGGACACCAGGCAGGTGCCACATAAATGTTAATCATCCAGGCGTCCATGTGAGGTTGCCCTAAGGAAGTGCCTTATTGCTTTTGTCAGCTAAAAGTACAAGGCACTCACTGTTTTAACCATGAAGGCATCTGGATACCAAATAGACTAAGGATCTATGAATACAAGACACTTACTGTTTTGACCATTAAGGCGTCTGGAACTCTTGATACCAAATAGACTAATGATCTTGTCTATCTGTTTCACAATCAGTGGACTGTCGCTGCTTATGTTTTTTCCCCTACTTGGTAGAATCTGCTTTATGAGATCCCTCCTGTCTCCTCATTCATGGAGCTTGGTCTTGCTCCTCTTTTGCCTGTGTCACTATTCTTTCATGTGCTTTCCTTTAAGCGGGCAGCAGAGGTCCTGTACTAAGAATATGATAAAGTATTTTGAATATTAGACCAAGCATCAAACCAGAAATGTGCTTAATTCAGGGTTTTCAGTTTTACTGGTGGTTCAACCTCAAAATTCTCTGTTTTCCAGTTTTCAATGAACAGGAAAGGGGGTTCAGTTCTGGTTCAACCTGGCTCAAAATAAGGTTAGGTCCAGTTTTAGAACATCGATGTGATCCCTTTTATACTACTGTTGGAGTATTTGGAAGGAATCATAGAATTTTGAAAAGAAAGGTAAGGTGCAAGCAAGTGCTGATGCAGGCAATTTCTGAGGGATTGATCTTATCTCTGGAAGATTTTAGTGGATTGAATTGGAGGGATACTGTAATGGCCCTAAAACATGCAGTTTAAAGGCCTTTTATGGGCTTCAGCCCCTTTATGTACATCTTTTTATTTCTAAATATTTATAAGACCTTTTATTGTTGTGAAAAAGAAAACCTATCTAATTGCATGGGATTGACTTTATGGGCTTCACTTCCCCTTTCTGCACACCTTTCATTTTAACTTAAACTGTTCTGTTCTGACTTCTGATAAATATCGTATCATTGTTTTGGTAGGCCAAGTGGTTTATTGTTGACAAAGTATAGTAATTTTCTAAGCACTTGCGGTTTAGGTAGTGAAAAGCTTCTCATCTGGTAAGAGAGAAGGTGGAGACTTTGTTGCAGCCTGTGTCTCACCGAAAGGAGAATGGGTTTACTGTGTTGGAGAAGACAGGTTAGCGATACCCTCATTTTAGGTGTGGTTTTGATATATAATATATCCCTTTTTTGGTAGTTAAAAAGAATTTTGTTAAAACAGAAAATTGATTACAAGCTGTTGGTCATAGGATTTCAGCAAACCAAGTGCTACAAAAACAATGTTACAGAAGAACCTGAGGATCAAAATATTTTTATAAAGCTACCATGAAAATGCATTTTATAAAATCCCCGATATCATCCCAAAAGACAGCTTGCTATCATGCGTGGAGCATGGTATAAACCTTCATGTGGTTTACACTTCATTCTTCCTCCATGTCTGGTGTATTTACATGATGTTGGGTACTTTGGTTGGTCTGGAGTAGGGTGCAAGTTAGGAACAATTTAAAGAATCTACATAGCATCATTTGGGCCCATTATATAAAGAACTTCATTCTTCCTCCATGTTTGCTTGATACATGTTTTGTGGGCAAGCTTTTATAAGACTTAGTGTAGTTGTTGATTCCCTTGCTTGCAAATGACTGGTTTGCTTGTCTAGCATTCCAAAATTTGAGCATGAACCATATAACTACATCTTCAAATGTTTTCTGTTTATTGGCAGGTAATGTGGTGGTTACATACAGTGAAGACTGCACAATGAAAATATGGAAGGCGTGAACCTGGTTCTCTGATTCCCCAAACTTGATCCTCTTCTGCAAAACTAAGTATAGGCTCATTTTTACTATACATTTTTATTATAACCATGGGGCTTTGCTTGTTAATGGAGAGCCAATGGCCAACCACTATGCACTTTCTGAAGTTTAGGAAAGAGTTTCTATTGRCTGCACCATATAGAGAGGTAGGCTGGTAATTTGCCTTCATTGAATTGGTAGAAAAGCAGAGCTTTTGAACATATTATATCATATGTTTGGAAGGGCCATTTCCATGAGGAACCAGTCACAACAAAAACCAAATGCCATCAGAATCAGCAATCTGAATTCTGACATAGCAACCAAAAAGACTGGATGATTGGCAAGCCCAATACATTACTTTATATATTAAAGTTATCAACTATCTTAAGTCATTGCTTTGAACTATATTGAACTGTGATGTAATCCAGAAATCGTGTTGCTTTGAGCGTCAGGCTGTCAGCACTCTCAAACCTTAGTGGATTGTGGGATCCATCATCCATGGCAGATATGGGACTAGAGTGGATGCCTATCCAGAATTTATTTGGCAATGTTACAAGTTAGAACAATTCGCGATTGTGAGTCGTGACCATGCATTATATTGAGCAGGTTTGCATAAATATTTTTGTCCCGTAGAGTATGTAAACTTGTAAGCGTCTAATATAGTTTCCAGATCCAACCTCTTTTCTAAAAGCGACGCCTGCTATTTGTTTATTCTTTAATCATCAGCACTCAGCAGTGAAGCTGTTTTTGCTTAGACGCTAATGTTTAAATTTAGAGTTTCTTCTTGCATGTTGGAGCCTGAATCATGCCACTTTATTTATTTTGGATTGCTTAGGGTAAAAGCATTTAATAACATCTTATTAAATTATGTAAACAAAGCTGTCAGACTTGGACCTGACAGTGACAGACCAAGAAGGCTCACTGTCACTGGGGTCATGGTTTTACTTTTACCAAATAACTGGACGATCAGATACGGTGAAAATAGTTAAATAACTGGGATCTGGAAATTAAACGAGATGATCGGGTCATTGCTTCAATTCAATTGTTTGGTCCGTTCTCACTTCTGAGTTTAACCACTGTTATTGACGCTCGATCTTCACGAATCATGATTGATCGAGTGATTCACTCCAACTATTAACCTGTCTGTTCCTGGTCCAGATAGGTCCGTCCAATGCTGAATCTTGTATTGGATATGGTGACCCACTGATCCTGAGTTATTATTCGTTTCGTAATGGTACCTCTGAAGTCTGAACTGTGATTGACTAACTACGGATGGCGAAAACTATGTTAGCTAAGCTTTAAGTGCCCGACATCACTGGAGTTGGTACTTGAACAATTTGGCCTTGGGCCAAGGTTGTTAGTTGGGGTCGGCCTGTAATCGGGAATAGCTTCTGATTTTGTCAATATAGAATATACGAATTGGCAGTTGTCTCTGGCCTTTCTATAAAAAAAAAAAGAAAGAAAAGATATCGTATTTACAGGAAAAAAATCAAGCAGTTTTTGCCAGGCAGGTAGTTAGAACCCAGAAAGATACAATTGCCATTACTGACCCACTCTTCCTTCCTTTTTTTTGTTTTTAATGCTCTCTAAAACTAAAAGTAGAAAAAGTGAGAATCAAGATATTTCATATTCTGAGTAGAAGAATATGAAAAGAAATAGCATAGAATGATAGAATGTAGAAAAGTGAGAATCAAGATATGTCATATTCTTTATCGGGTCATGCATGACTGGATTGCCCCTCTGTGAGTGCAATTGCCACCCTTTTCTGACGTGGCTAGATCCCAATCCTTTAGTTTCTTTTTAAACTTGTTCTTTGAATATTCCTCTTATAAAATTTGTGTCCAATTTGTAGTCATCCAAAAGTTGATAAGTTTCTGTTTAGAAGGAATGGAGTTGGATTGGAGGGAGATATTTTAGTATTATTTGCGCTTTCACCTTTCAGCTTCTTTCATCAAAAAAAAAAAAAAAGTCTTTCAGCTTCCTTCAGGTCAACGTTTTTGATGTGCCACAGTTTCAGGTAGGGTGCAATCAAATTTGAGCTTTCATGGGATGTTGAACAGTTTCGCCTCCCAAGCCTGACTCGAACTTTCAAGCAAAACTTGAACTCATAGATCGAGCTCAAACTGGAAAATACTTTAATCGAGCTGAACATGTTGAAGTTTGGCTTGTCTCGGTTTGATTACACCCTTAATTTCAAGTCAATGCTTTTAATTTGTGACATGTAGAGGTGGATAGGAATCTAGATTTTTACAAAATATTCAAGTTTGGCTCGAGAAAAGCTTGATTTGACTCAGAATGTTAATAATCAAGTTGAATTTGAGCCTAATGAAATTCAGTATAATTTTTCATTTTTCATATGAAGTTTAGACCACCATCAAGCTCAGCCTAGCTCGAACATATGGCGTTTGAATTGAATTCTTTTGGCGAGTTGAACTTGAATAGCAAAATATTCCGCTCATTCAGCCTTATTACTTATATGGGTATGGGTGACAAGGCCATCTCCTTTGCCACGTCGGACCATGGGTGACTCATCGGTGGGGGCCGGGGAGGCTCCCATTTTACCTGTTCGTTTCTTTTGTTTATTTAAGAGAATAGAGACAGTCCGATAGAGACAGAGACGGTGAAGTAAATTCGGAAAAAAGAGATGCAGCAGCACCTCCTAAATTTAAATCTTATCCAAAAGAAAATAAAAGCTGAAAAAGGAGGAGGCATGAAAAGCAGCTGGGCTGGGCAATGGGTTGATCGGTGAGAGGAATCTTGTAAATTCTTTCTCTGTTTATTTTATCTTAATTCTTTTGTTCATTTTCTTCTTTCGAGTTGTCCTTTGCCGCCAAGGTTGCAACCTTTCATGGCCGTCTGATTCTAATTCCAAGTTGGTGGGTCCCTCTGATTGTGACCGCACCTATGCGAGACTCCAAGAAGAACAGGAAAACGAGACCAGAGAGTTTCCCCCCCTCTCTCTCGCATTTCTCTTCTCATCCACTCCTTCTGTTCCTGGCCCCCTCCAGAATCAACTTTGAGTCCCTGCAAAGCGATTTGGATTCCAAATGGGTTGTTGGTGTATGATTAGTTCCCGCATTCTTGAATTGAAGCCTTTTGACCCCTTGAAGAATTCTGATCTGGGTTAGTTGCAGTTATTGCTGTTGTTGGTGTCCTCCTATTGATTTATTCTTCGTCTTGTTCTTCGTCTTCAAGTGGCGGACGGTCTTTGTTCTCCTGGGTTTGGACTTCTGAAGTGAGCTAAGTTTAGCGAATAGCGATGTCGACTGCTAGTATGAACCTTATTACAACTGTAATCGGGTTTGGGATGAGCGCGACTTTTATTGTGTTTGTATGCACAAGACTAATATGCGGAAGGATCCGCGCAGTTGAATCTCGCCCAGTATTCGAAATGGACTCCAGGACTGATATTGAGCAGGTATGCTGGATTCTGGTATTGCTATCTTCTTTCTCATGATTTATGGTGGTGGTCTCGGATCTGCGTATCCTCCTTTTGATCTCAAGATTTAAAGTTACGGTTTTCATTGGATATGGTCTATTCAATTGTGTTTGAGCGGACTCTGTTCTTATTTGTAGATCGATTAATTTGATTGGTTACTCTGCAAATCATATCGTTGCTACATGGTGACATTTGCTCTTCGCTAGAGTTCTGTTGGTGTGATAGTATTGTTCCTTTCACAGATCATGTCTTTGTTATGAAAAACGGTTCGAAATATAAGAAAAAGATACAACAGCATTATAACATTTCCCTTTGTTTAAGATAAAGTAGTTTCTTTCTTTGTTAATATTTAGTTTTTTTTTTTTTTTTTTGGTGCTTCTTTGTTCTACATTTTTTAACTTTTCTTGCTACTGTAACTTTTTCATTTTATTATTTGCATGAATCTAATCTTATGATTATTTCCATTTTCTTAGAAATTTATCAAAGCTTAAAATAGAAAAAAGAGCTTGATTTTACATCAATATCCTACATCTAAGCAATTGATACCACCAAACTTACCACTTCTAGGTTATGCTTATGATCTATAGCTGCTATAATTTCTCTTCAAAGTCGATTAACCCTCATGCTGATACTGAAAAAAAGTCTCTGAATAGGTTTGGTGATGTAAGGGTAATCTCTCTCCAAATAAATCTTTAGTTTAGTAAGGGTAATGTAAAAAGGAAAGAAAATTATAAGGTATGGAAATGGGTTCCAGTCAATTTAATTTGATTCGTATGAATTGACAAAATTGAAACATTTATGAATTGAATAATGAAATTTGAACTATAGTTTGTGGTTTTTCCCCAATACAAGGATTTTGAAGTAAGATTTGAATCAGAACTCTGGGGATTCACTAATTGAATTGTGAATCTTATCATTGATTGCAAGATTTCAACAACATTGCTGCCCATCCACCATGGTATGAATTTGAAGTATCCATGCATCATTGAACTGCTTGTTTGATACATGATGTCAAGCATAAATAAGGCTGAAAGGTAAGACTGCAGTTCAAACGTAAAAGTTGTGGTCTGATAATGAGGTTTTTGTTGCTTACAAAGATATGTGATCAGTGATTGCTTGTGTAAGTGGTTCTTATTCAATAAGCGTTCAATGTATTCTTATGTAATAAAGGAAAGTTTCATTAACATAAAAAGGAGTTTTCAAGTAATAAGAAATCACCATGGAAAAAGAGGAAATATAAGGTAACATGTACATCAATCACAGCCAAATGAAAGAATCAAGTCTCCCTACAAATAAAAAAAAAGTCCATCACCCATGCTGGTTTCAGTTATTTGGGGTCTTGGTCAAGACCCAAGATCAACATTTGATGCAGCTCTAGAGGTTGACGTAGAAATTTGTTATCTCCATGCAAAATGAAGTGTCCAATGCTGCCATCTTTACAACACATACTCCACTATAGAGCTTCATTAACAGTCAAAGCCAATAGAATCCAGGATTAAGAATATGGAAATTCTGGTTAAAGCAGTGGCTCTTAGCAACAAATTGAGTTTTTTTTCCCTCTTCCATGGTGATGATGCTAGATCTAAAGATCATTCCATAGTGCTTGAGGATAAGGGATGCCAGGAAGAAAGAGAATGCCAGGAAGGGGAGCATCAGGATTTTGGCCAAGTTGTTAGCAACCCTGTTCAGGTAATTGGTAAGGAACATCCCTCTGAAATTACTCAAAGTGGGAAAGAGGATAATGGTGAAACCATGCTCAATTGATGCTTCAGGATATCTTGGTTCTTGGAAGAATTGATAGCTAAGTGGAAAGAGAAAGGGGGACAGGGAAAAGAAGCTAAAAATGTTTCTTGAGATCAAGGGAGAAACTGCAAGGGGAAAATTTTCATCTCAATTAATTTGCTACTTCTGAATCTTATTTTTTCTGGTTGGTCTAATTGTTGGGAAGGCTTAATGTGGAGGTGTTATCCAGAGGTTGAGCAGAATCTATGGTTGTAAATATTTTCTTTTATTGGTGGAGATGGGTAATTGCTGTCAAAGTTTTGTAAAAGGTGGTTGTAGGGATTTATTTTTCTTCGATGGAATCTGCCTTAGGTTTTGGTTTTTTTTTGGAGGCAGGGGGTGTTTATATCAAGTCTTCTGCAGATGGTTGAGAGGGAAGCTTTTGTTTCTTTCTCTTTTTCTCCTTTTGGGCTTTGGGAGTGTAAGTTTGGGGCCCTTTTATTTTGCTAAGGATATTCTATTTTTATAGTGCCGAGTAGCCATTACCAACAAAAATGTGATTAGAGTACCTCCATGTTCCAGGGATGGCTTCTTTATGTATGAAAATGTATTCCTTACCATTGTTTGTTTCAGAACCCATAAATACAGTGGGTTGGCTTGACTGAGATCATACAAGTTTCCATCTTTCTCATATTACATTTAGAATTTCTTTTGGGTCTTATAGTTTTAATCCTTTGGAATTTGTTGACAGCCAGAACATAGGATCAGTGGGCTTGAACCTGTTGTGGTTGCTGCCATCCCCACAATGAAGTTTGACAGGAAGGCTTTCCGTTCTGTTGAAGATGCACAGTAAGTTTATATTGTATATCCAGGAACTCTCTCTCTCTCTCTCTCTCTCTCTCTCTCAAGTTTCACAGGGTCTTCTGTAGGCAGAGTTTTATTCTTTCTCAAGCAGCAGAGTAAATGAGTTTGCAATAGGGAGGCCTGAAAGGCAAAGGTTGTAGGGAATACATGCATTTAAATTTAATTATCTTGTACTGTCTTCTACTTAATGTTTTCTGCAATTGGAATGAAGGTTTTATTTACTTTTGGTAAACTTAGTATTATCATACAAGGTGGTATTCAGCGAATATGAAGAAAGGCTTTAAATGGCCAAAACCATGTTAAATATGGCTCATCAATAGATGTTATATAGAATATATACATTCTTGGTTCCTGATTTTTATCCTTTATATTTGTAATTTTAATCTAGATGTTAAGAATTCATTATGTTTATGCTACTGCAGGTGTTCGATATGTTTGGCTGAGTATGAAGAGAAGGAGATATTGCGAATTATGCCCAACTGTGGCCACAATTTTCATTTAACCTGCATAGATATCTGGCTACAGAAACAATCAACATGTCCAGTTTGCCGATTTCCTTTAAAAGAATCATTTGAGTCAAAATATGAGGGATCACCAACTTTCAATGTACTCCATGAATCAATTGATGGTCCTGAGGTTGTGAGTGACAATTCTAACGGCTGGCTGCTACCTGACCATGGGCATCCATTGGGAACTGGAAGTAACCAAGGTAATCATGAATCAATGCCCAGAAACCTAGAACTTGCTCCTATTGGAGAACTAGAAACAAGGCGATAGCGAAAGTGAGGAGATAAGTGGATTGGTTTGGGAATGGGTTATTCCTTTGCTTCTTGGAAGCAACGTATGCATATAAAGAAAATTTTACATACTAATGGAAGTGTTCTGAATCCTGATCATGGTCTTGAGGTGTAGAAAGTTCCATGAAGTGAATGTGCAGTTGAGATATCTTAAAACTTCATGGGCACTCCATTCTTTACAATTTCTTACAATGAACTATTTGAGATTTTCTGAATACTAAATAGTTGCATGCAATGTTTTAGAAGATATGCTTTAGGCACACAGGCGAGATTCAGTTTGTGGCCTCATGTGAACCAAGGTGTGCCTCAGCAGGCTTGTAGTTGTATTTAATGAATTAATCTTGCATTTGATGTTGTACTTATGATGCTTAGAGTTTAAACAATTTGTGTTAATAACATGGAATTCTAACCAACTGAACTAACAAGTTTTCTGAAATATTTGATTTGTTTCAGACTTTAGATTTGCATACACTTCAAGCTTTAGAACCTAGGGATGCTCACGGTTTGGTTAGCCGAACCATGAGCAATTTTCGGAAACCGAATTGGTCTTATCGGTTTTTGCATTTCTCCGAACTGAAATCGAACTGGTACCACCGGTTAACTGGTTGACTGGTTTCAGTTTTTGATCGGTTCGGTTCTTTGGTTTTTTATATTTATAACATATTATATTAACCGCTGAACATAGCATAGATTTAATAATTGAACATGTTCTTTAACCCATAAATACAGTGGTTTGAAAATCTCTGATGCAATCGGCCGCGATTTGTGAACTGAACATAGCATTCACAAGAATCAGGTTCTAATTCGATTAGGTGTTGCTCACTTTGTGTGCAAGCTCAAAATGCCTAAATTTCTACAAGTTGCAAGGAGTAGTTACAAGGCTGCACCAGTCTTGATGGACATGTTCTTTATGAAGGCCAATGCATTATCCAACAATCCAACACCACATAGCCAATCGACCAATGACCAATACATCCATAGTGTTCCATCCTTGATCCTTGGTTGAATGCGACAGATCTCTTCCATTACTCTAAAATCTAAACGTCTAAATTCCCTTGTCGACTAATAGATGTCTACAGTCTGCAAYACTGCATTTACGACTTACCTCTCGGGAATCCTAGAAATCCTCCTTGTGAGTCAAGCATCAGCGAAGGATGACCCGCTGCAAAGCTTGAGCCATGGTTTTTAAAACCGACCCGGTGACCGAACTGGTCAGGGGTCCGGTTACCGGGTCAAACTGTCTGATCGTTTTGACAAAAAATAAAAAATTTAAAAACGGTCAAAATCGTTCGAACGGTTCAAACGATTAACCGGTCAGTTCAGTAATTTACTGACCAAAATCAACGATTTTGGGGAAAAACAGGGAACCGGTCCGATCATCCGGTTTTGAAAACCATGGCTTGAGCTAAGAATTTCACTGATTAAAATGGTACTTAATGACTTTTTATTGTACAAAGAAAGAATATAGTCAATTACATTATAATACTCTTTCTATATGAATAACAAACCTTTATTTTTATAATGATATGTTAAAATAAAGCAATAGCCAAATTTGTATTTGATGCATCTTATCTTTTATCTTACCAATCTTCAATTTTCTTTTTTAGAAATCAGTCATTCATCATTTATTGTGACAAAATAGTACAAGGATATACACCACCAAAATTCATGGAATGTCATAAAAATTCTATAGTTTTTCAACTTTTCTTCTGAACCCTTTCTTGCAAAAATAAGAAAATTCTGCAAGAAGCATGTAAAGACAGCAATACCCAGTCAGATGTGGTAGTTGTCCAATATTATTATGTACTAATACATGGGTTCTTTGAGAGAAAGATATGCATATAATAAGAATGAGACTGAGAGAGTGAAGAGGGATTAAAATGGAGAGATTTTAGGTACAAATGTAGATACAAGGTAGTTTAGAGAGATTGTTCCTCTACTTATTCAATATCTATACATTTCAGATTGGAAATTTAGACCCACCTCATGCAAACCATTGGCTATACGTTGGAGTCCTATGGGCGCTAATTCATAATTATTTAACAAAAAATTCAAACACACACACACAAGCTAAACTAGAGGGAGCGTGGGGTGACTTCGTTTTATATATAAGAAGGGCAACATATAAGAGCAATGCTTTCAAAGTATATGGGTTCCATCAATCATCATCAACCACAAGGAATGCTATCACAACCCTCAGCCCCATGTATATATTCTTCCCTTGGTGATGGTGATATCTGTAAACTTGAACTCTTGCATTTGCTTAGATGTGATAGAGGAAAGTATATTATTTTTGGCATTGATACTTCAAACATGGACCACTCTATCAACCAAGAATGTCCCTTTTCTTTTATGCATTGATGTATTGATTAATCATGCATGGGTTAAAGGGTAGTGATACATTATCATCATCATCATCGTTGTCATTGTCATTATCATCTAAGCCTATACCAATCATATGGGATCGACTACTTGAATCATGTTTCACCAATGCATTCTGTTTGTAACATATCCATTGTTAAATTATGGGTGTTTAAACTATCTCTTATTACTTCTAATCAAGTCTTTTTTTAACCCCGCCAACTTGTAGAAAGACAGATAGGATTACCCGAATGCGATAGCTGTTGAGTAGGCTGTAAAACCAATTATAACACTCTACATCAGTCATAAAATATATGGGCCCACAATCATTTAATCCCTCAGTGTATTCCTCCGGCCGTAAAGGAGCCGATTTTTTTTTTTTCAAACAACGGGGTTCGATAAATTTTATATCAAGGTAAAAAATTGCATACTTAGAATTTTGTTAGTGACATATGCTGGCTGTAGAATTGAAAACTATTCCCCTATTGCAAAAAAAATAAAAAAGGAATAAAATCTGCAATTATTTCTACCTTTTTCTTTCCTCCTTCCCTTTTCAATTACCATGTTTCCATGTAACTGTGCACTTAAATCATACATAAATTAAGACATGTTACCGGGATCTGATGTCTATATTCTATAATCCAGTCTTTAGCTGTTCAAATAAAGCCCACAACAGAATACCAATTATAGTGTCTCTTATCAAACTTTTGAAAAGTGTGTTGAGCCATCCATTATTACTGCTACCAGGTTGCCTCTTGCCCACAAGGTCACGGAACCGCAAGTCTCCCAGATCTGATACTAATGCATATATGACTCCATTCATGTGGCCTTTCCCAATAACTCCTACTACTCTCTTGCTACTATTTACAGCTTTGCTCCGCTTCAGGGACCATGCTAGATACTAAAAGAACAATAGTCAGTTGAGGTATGCAACATAAATTGAGATGCCACGATAAAGTTAGAAAATATTGCATTACTTCAACTACATACAGAATCCACAGAAAACCAAAACAGTAACAACTGCAATGGGATGATTTCAAGTAAAAAGGAGTTTCATATAGCAAGAGAATTTTCTTAACTCTTACAAACACTTCAATTTAATAGAAATGTATTAGATACCTGGAAGGCTGAACTCTTTGATCACTAATGGCGTATTATTCAGTGCCAACAGAAAAAACTTTGATTTTTAGTAGTTACTTTATTCCAGAAGAAAAAGAACTACTAACCGTGTCACGCTCATGTATGAGAGGTTGCAGGAGCGATGGATATGAAAAACTTAGCTGCTCATACAGCTGAAATGGACCATCATCAGTTTCTGATCCCTGCCACAGAACACAATTTTTAAGTGTAAAAGAAGTTAATGTAGGAGAATCTGGGTATGCTATTATGCTGCAAAGATAGTTCTACGAGCATAGAAACTTTGCACATCACATTCAAACTAGTTCTCTCTCTACTCTATGGAAGTTGGTCTCTATGGAAGTTAGTTGTGTTTCCAATTTCCAATTCCTTTAATGGTGTTATTATACATGGAAATGATCAATCTGAGTTATCCTTTATGGCTTATATTATATTTGAGGTTGCTGGTTTGCAATGTTGACACTGATGTAACTCCTTGAGAAACTAATTAAGATCTCGCAACAAAAATTGGATATGAAATGTATAACTATATATTCAAAATACTATATTCTGTAAAAGTGAAGTCCTAAAATACATTAGATATCATGACCTTGACATGGTTTTTTTTCCTCTGTTGAGAACTGTTGACTAAGTTAATTAGAACTTTACTATGATCTCACAACTGTGATGTAGACATCTTTCCGGTTGACATACAAATTTGAAGCTTTTGAACCAAAACACAATACCAAGAGAAAATATAGAACAAGGTATTGCACCATAATTTGGACTTTACATACACCAGAAAAAAAGTTCCAAACATCACTAGATGAATTAGAAAAAACACAGAAACAATCAAAGAAATGCATAATGGAAGATTCTTCAAGAAAATATAAACATGCTTAAAAACACATTTCAGCTTCTATTTTTTTTTTTTGGTAGAAATTTCATCTGCAATTCTTGAAAAATTAAATGCGGGCAATTTTTTGAAATAATAGAAATAAACATCAGTAAAAGTTGACCTTCAATTTGTTCCCTGATATCTCAGATGGTGAAGTGATTCCACGAAGAACCGAGGTTACCAAACTTAGCTTCTCATTCAATTTGAGAGAATTCCAAGCCCTTTCAAGCTGTAACAGCAGACATTAATCAATCAACAATTGAACTTGTGAGAAAAGAAAATAAGGACTTAATGTAAAGTTCATATCTGAAGAACTTCCTTGCTGACCTTCCAATTAAACACAGACCTGTGATGGAAATAAAATTCAAGACATCATTTGATCTGTTTTGTTTTTTTCCTTCACTGGCGTGTCCGTGTTTATTTGGGGGGTCTCAAGGAATTTATACAACTGTGGTTGCAGCAGATGTGCCCTCTTTAATAATTAATATAGCCTATAATCACTCAATATATCAAAACCCATTTAACCAGAATGGATGAGATAACCACATTTAACTTGGATGAGGAAGTAACATACAGTTATTTCAATAGGCCGATCCCCCAACACTAATTGAGCTCCAACCTCCTCAGATGCTCTCCGAGCAGAACGAAACTGGTCATTAGGAAGAAAATGCCTTTAATGGAAATTAATAAGGAATAGCATTCCATTCTTTTGTTTAATATATCATTGTATATGCTACTTCAGATAATTTTCTTTCTAATCTAATCTTTAACCTCATCCCCAAAAGGTCTGTCCACTTTTGAAGAGATTTTGGAGGAGAAAACCRCCAAAAGCAGCCGTAGTGCGAGAGCAGTTTGACCCCCTGCCAGTGTAAAAACAGCTGCTTGTAACTTCGGTATTCAGAAGCAGCTTGATGGAATTCTTTCTAACATGTTAAGAAGAAAAGGAAGGAAAAAAAGTACATTCTAAAAGCATACTTTAGCCTAAATTGGCACTTACCCAAATTTATGCTCCGACCAACAGCTCCAAAAAAGCCAGCCCCACTCAGGGAAAACATATTCGATCTTAATTGCGTACTAGGCTCATCCTCATTGGAAGTATACATGATTCCAGCTCTGAAAATGAGCTCTGCAACAATTGAAGTTAAGCTGCGGGATTGAATCTGAACAAAAACTGCAGAAGAGATTGAATTCGAGGGACTTAACAATCTCTACTGAGTACATACACATCATCAAATTGTTTGGCATCATTTTTATTAGTGGAATTGTTAAGCATTTGAACCGTTGAGCAAAAATATAATTTGCTTGTTGAAAGAATATATTTTTTGACGGGTATGATGGGTACCACTGTATCAGAACAATCACCTCAGATTACAACATGACTCCTTTAAATACAAGAAATTACTATTTCAGTTCAGCAGACGTCAGGCTCTCTAATTCAACACAAATGCAAGAAATAATATAATTAAATAGTATAATTATCAATTATTGTTCATCTAGGTTTCCCCCCTTTTTCTTCCTGAAACATACAGAGTGTTAAATCCGGTATTAATGAATCAAATTCGAGCAATTGTCATGGCATCATCAAATCTTCCTTGCCATCTGTCTAACGATTTTTAGTTTTTGGAAGACTAACTAAGTTGTAATGTTGCATCCAAAATTGCTCATATTCTCAGAAGAATAGAAAAGTTAAAATTGAACCGTTCTTGCCTGCTCCTGCAGAGTTCTACTACGACATTGTCCGGCTTAACAGCTCTCACAACACGCTCAACATCAGTGGCGGATTCTCGCGAGATATGTGTCGTCCCAATTAACCAAATCACCTCCGGCTCCACGAATTCAGTTCTCCATTTTGGCACAGGACCGAAACGCCTCTTCTCAATGAGGACCAGGCTTCCGTTCTCGACCAAGTCCAGCAGCTCCGGATACATTTCAGCAACGACGTTTCGGGAGTCCTCCAGAACTTCTGTTCTGAAATCGAATTCTGGTGGAGGAGCTTTGATGGAAACCCTAGGGATTTTAGAAGTTGGGACTCTGGGAAGACTACAGGGTTGGCGAGGTTTGAAAAATGAGAAGCGCAGGAGATCAGGATTCATGGGGAAGGGAGAGGAAGGAAAGATTAAGCTTTCCATGGACGGATAGATAGAAAGATGACAACTTTGTGTGGTTGGTCTGCGGAATTCTCTKCTCCTTCGAAAATAAGAACATGGATTTCGTCCTCATCAGAAAATCCCTGCTCACACCGCTCACACCGTCCTCACAATAAAAGAAGTTCGTGGCTTYGGATAACAAGTACCAATCTTTTTAACGGTTTTAACGACCGCTATAACGGTTTTGTTCTTCTTCCATACCATAGCCAGTAACCATACTCTTGAGAAGCGTAAAATAAAGAAGGCTTTTAGCTACTGATGGTTAAAAAGCCATTATCTTTCTGAAAATTTACACAGATTAATTCTTGCACATATTAGTGTTCTTTTCTTTTTTATACGAAAGAAAATGTGCCTAGAAACATTACAAGAGTTAAAAGAGAAAACAGAATGAATAGAAGACATTGCATTGTGACTTGTGAGTGAGCCAATCCGTTGCCTGGTTTGCCTCTCTAAACACCCAAGATGATTCGAATAATGTGTTTTTATCTGATCAATGATATCATATTTTATAGATTATATAATCGTTTATATTCAAAATTTTGATTTTCTTGTAGAAGTCATTATTTTGATGATTTTAAAAAATAAGGATAATTTTTGAAACAAAACTGATAACTTTGCTTCTTAATTAAAATAAAAACATAAAAACATAAAAAACATTCATGTGGGCACCATGAAATTTTGAGTTCCAATTCTTTAACTAAGTAATTATATTTTATATATCTTGATCATCTAACCAGTAGTTGATATCTTGGAGGGGTTGTAATTGGTTACTTCTCCCAACAACTAAACTATTAGGCTGTGTTTGGTTGCAGTACAAATTTATTTGAACTGATGTAAAACTATTCTAATGTAACTGTGCAAATTCTGATTTATTTTTGTTTCAAATTTTACTTTATTTTGTTTGATTGCAATACAAATGAAGTAAAATAAGATATGAAGTAGAATAAAATAAAACCCAAAACAAAATTAAATCAAAATTTGTATTCTTTTCCTTTGCACTCCCATGCAATTGCACTATAACCAAACACACCCTTGGAACATTTTTTATTATGAACGATAATTTGTAGAAGCTAGTTATTTCAATTGCTTTTCTTTTTCTTTTTTTTTTTTTTTTTGTTAAGGTTGAGATCATTTATCTAATTAGCTTTTTTTAACTCCAATTTTACTTGCAATAGGGGTTTCTTAACTTATATTATTTTCTTTGTTTCTATCTTGGGCTTGTTAGATCAAGATGGATAGATGGATATGCTAAACTTTCACAAGTCTTGACGCATGGATATTTAAAGAAAACTAATCAATTAAAAGAAAGTGATTATTTAAGAGATAAGATACCAAGTTTGTGAGCCTGGAGATAAGATCCAAATGCTTAAAATCATGATTTTCAAATCGCMGTTGACGTAGACGATCGGACCATTCGGCCTGGGAACCATTCGGGCAACCAGTTATGTTTTACCCCAAACTGATCACTGGCAAAAAACTGTTGAATCGATTAATGATCCATTGACTTGGGGAATCAAACTGTCGACCTGTTCAACGGGCTTTGGCTGTTTTTTATTTTAATTATTTTTTTTTTATTTTTATTTTTTTATTAGAATGGGTTGTCTGTTTGAATTGGACGATCAAACTATCGACTCAGAAACCAGTGGCCAGAACAATTCTGGTTCTGGGTCATCTTTTAAAACATTGCTTAAAATCCACCCTAAGTGTGCCTGTTTGTTTGAATTTGCTCAGACAGAAATGTTAAAACATTAAAAAACAAGTAAATAGTTTTGATGAAGGAAGATTTGGCCYGACCTCGTAACCACTCAATGCGTGGAAAAGGCAACAGCTCGGCACAACAGCACGCCCAAGGCGAGAGCTCCGAAGGGAGGAACCAGTGGCTCGAACTCCCTACAAGAAGCCCGAACTCCCCACAAAGAGCCCGAACTCCCCGCAAGGAGCCCGGGCTCTCCCTTAGGCCCCGTGCCTTACGAAACAACCCCAACTGGCCCGACCAATGGCAGTTCGGGCCACACCTCTATCCGAACTCAAGACTTAACCTCGGACACCACTCCAGTACTTCGCCTCCAAGACGTCGAACTAAACAAACCGCACCGTACCTGACACCGAAGGAGTCCGTATCCAAGGGCGGCGCACCTGACTGATTTGGGATCTAACGCTTGACAGCCGCACTTCAACGGCGACCTGCCACTGCCATCTCCAGTTACAGAGACGGCTCCGACAAAGAGAGCAGTGGTGGTTCTGTCCCAGCAGAGGTGATGACACCCGAACTGGCAAAAGCACAGAAGTAATCATACCCGACCTGACAGAAGCTTAGGAGTGAGTGCGCGAAGTGGTTATAAAAGGCTCTCTATCCCCCAAGAACAAGGTATGTGGACTTTGTGCCATCTGGTTTTATCTTGCCTTTGAGGAAATACTAACTTGAGCTTCGGATCATATTCACCGGGTTCTTCCCCGGAGATTACTCTCTTCCCCCTTCGTTTCAGGCACCTTTTGCTCCAGCCCGAGGCAAGATCTTTGACAGCTAGGACCCGCCGGATTGTGCACCATCAATTGGCGCCGTCTGTGGGAACGCTTCTAAAAGTCTCCCTCTAAAACTCTCATAACCTCTTTTTCTCAAAACCCCAACACTCATGGCTTCTTCCAGCAATGTCGGACGTGGCACGGAGATGAACACCACCAGGGAACAACTCCAAGTCCCCGTGGTGTGCATCGGACAGTTCACCATCCCCCTT